AACTTTACAGATCTTCTTTATGCACCAAGAGCTTGTAACACTCCAAAGAGAAAGGAAAAATTGAAATCGCATCATGACCCCTTTAAAAAAAAATTTACATTTTTTTTTTTTTATTATGCAAACAGACATACAATTTACCAGTGACAAATCAAATCCAAAATAACCAAGGTCAACAAAACATACATGACATCCAACGTGTGTGTGTGTCATAAGTTGGGCCCCCCGCCCATGTCACCCTACAACGGGCCATCAAGGAGAGGTGTTGTGGGGCACAGGGCCCAAAGTCCCACCCTTGGCCGCCACATACATGCATGTATGTGGCGGCCAGGAGTGGGACTTTGGGCCCGGTGCCCCACAACACCTCTCCTTGATGGCCCGTCGTAGGGTGACATGGGCCCTACGAGAAATAAATATATATTTATTTATTTATTTTTTATTTTTTGACCTCATAATGTTTAATCAAAATGTCATAATATGCTGGACTTCTCCAATCATTTAAACTCAGCCCTGCAAGCTCACATGTATCTGCCTCCACTTTTAAATGCAACGCCCAAAACCCAATCAAGAACCGTTGCGCAGAACCAAGTCCCCACCATAGATTTTTTTCTTTTCAGATAATCTGTAATGTAGGTTGCAGATTTTGGTAAACATATTGTGTTGACAGTGTATCACTTTTCTCTCACCCCACAGATCGTGGTACGGTCCAAAAAGTTATAGTCCTGCCCAAGGATCCCAAATATAATATACTTTTCTATTCCTTATTTATAGACACCTTCTCCTGTCAAAACAATGTACATATCAGCCAAAAGGGTAAGATATAATAAAACACATTCTAATACCCTTTAAGAGTGTAATTTTTAAAAATGTATTACAGAAACCATAGAATTATGATTTCATCCAGCAATAGGGCATTAAAATTTTTTTAATATAATTTTTTTATTTTTTTATTTTTTTTTGCAGCAACAACTGTACATATCTTCAGAAGCAGGTCTTACCCAGATGTCCTTGCACCGTTGTGGAGTATATGGAAAGGCCTGTTCAGACTGCTGCCTGGCCAGAGACCCCTACTGCGCTTGGGATGGAGAAAACTGCTCTGCCTTTACACAAGCCACCAAAAGGTCTGAGAACCTGAAATCTTTAAAATTGTACTTGCTTATCCAGTCTCTTCACAGCTGAATCAAGATGAGAATGAATGATGAGAAAATTACGTGGCGTTTGATTATATATTGTATTATTTCATTTAGGAGGAGCAGAAGGCAGGATGTGAAACATGGTGACCCTTTGCGTCAGTGCCGGGGCTACAACGCTAAAGGTAACAAAAACCAACAGTCATCAATAAATAGTCTGCAGGATTATAATCAGGGCAGTCTGATGTATTTGTATAATAAGACAGCATATGACTGTAATATCTTTCTGTTTACTAGTGGAGAGGAGACTGCAGGAGAAAGTTCAGTTTGGTGTGGAGGGTAGCAGCACATTTCTGGAGTGTGTGCCGCGCTCTCCTCAGGCCGCTATCAAATGGCTCTACCAGAAGGAGGGAAGACGAAAAGTGGTATGATTGCATTCTTTTACTTTATTTCAAACCAACCGACCCGACTGACCAACCAACTAACCAGCCAAAAAGAACATTACATAATAAGATTTTGATTTTGTTGGTTAATATGCTGTACTGTATTTATTTATTTGTTTGTTTAAAGAAATAACAATTTTATACAGCAACATTAAGACACGATAAATTGATTAAAAGTAACAGTAAACACATTTGTGACCCTGGACCACAAAACCAGTCTTAAATCGCTGGGGTATATTTGTAGCAATAGCCAAAAATACATTGTATGGGTCAAAATTATTGATTTTTCTTTTATGCCAAAAATCATTAGGATATGAAGTAAAGATCATGTTCCATGAAGATATTTTGTAAATTTCCTACTGTAAATATATTAAAACTTATTTTTTGATTAGTAATATGCATTGCTAAGAACTTCATTTGGACAACTTTAAAGGTGATTTTTTTTGCACCCTCAGATTCCAGATTTTCAAATAGTTGTATCTTGGCCAAATATTGTCCTATTATAACAAACCATACATCAATGGAAAGCTTACAGATGATGTATAAATCTCAATTTAGAAGAATTGACCCTTATGACTGGTTTTGTGGTCCAGGGTCACATTTATGTTACAAAAGATTTCTAGATTAAAGATTAAACTTCAAAAGTTTAAATAAATGCAGTTTCTACAAAAATATTAAGCAGCACAACAGTTTTTAACATTGATAACAATAATAAATGTCTCTTGAGCATCAACTCATCATATTAGAATGATTTCTGAAGGAAAAGGTATTTTAATATCTAATACAATTAATACAATTTCACAATATTACTGTGTTTCTTGATCGGATATATGCAATCTTGTTCAGCATGAGAGGTTTTTCAAAAACATTTAAAAATCTCTTTGTTGACAGCTGAATCGAGACGGTGAGGTTCTTAAGACTCCTCAGGGGGTCCTTCTGAAAACACTCACCAAATCAGACACAGGCCTCTACCATTGCCTGGCCACAGAAAATAACTTCAAACACACGTTGGCTCGTGTCTCCTTGCGCATCCTGGACCGGGACATCGCTGTAGCCCTCACCACCCCCGATGAGGAGGAAGAGGCATCAAGGAGCCATCACAAAGACCATCACCAGGACCCTGCACCTCCCACCAAAGTGCTCCTGCTGGAGCCTGAAATGCGTCTGATTCAGCAGTACTGCAAGTCCTACTGGGAGCAGCTGACGGCCGGGGGAAACTCACAGGCTGACCTCCCCAAACGTACAAATCGCAGACACACAGATGCACTGACGGCTAGTGGGGAGTGAGGAGGACAAGAAAAGAGAGTTACCTGTCTGTCACCTTGCTCCGAGCGGTTTGTGGACTTGCATAGTTCATATGCAGTGGCACCAAAAAGTATTTGGACACTTTTGGACCATTTAGACACTTTTTACAGTGTTCAAAGTGAATAAAAATAAATTTGTGATTCTTAAAAAAGAAAATGTAGTAATTTCCCCCAGAGTATTTAGACACTTTTGGACTATTTGAACACTTTTATACTGTTCAAAATCATTCAAAATAAAATTCTGACCCATAAAAAATGAAAATATATTCATTTCCCCCCAAAAGTATTTGGACACTTTTAGACAATTAATTATGATTACATTTGTACAATATTCCAAAGTATTTTTTGACATCTAAAAATGAATATATTACAGTGTTCAGAAGTTAACTAATTGTATAAATTAATATTAATGTAAAATTAATTCATGAACAGACGCTCCAAATATTTGGAAATTACTTTTTATTTTGGACACGTAAAAAAATGGATACATTTTTAGTGTTTAAAACACATTTTTAAATGAATTAATTCATAAGCCGTGTCCCCAAAAATATTTTTAAAAATGAAAGTTTAAAAATTATTTTTCCCAATGTAAAAAAAAAAAAAAAAAAATCAATTAATTTTGAACACTGTATCTGGTTTTTGAAATTTCCCACTTGGCTTGATATTTTGTTATCTAATGCAATAGCATTTACCCTCAAAAAATGAAATGTCCAAATCCTTTTTGGGTCATTGTATGTAATCAAACATTCACTGTTAATTTGTTCACTGATCCAAAGTTGAAGTACGTGACCATTCGTCTGTTGTACTGGGATTGTAGTCGGTGTTGATTTAGGACTTAACATTTCCACTTGCCACAGTGATTTGACTGAATTTCAGTATTCTAAACAGGTGTAAACTTTTACTAATCTCACAAATTAAGCTATAAATGACCACCAGGATTCAGTCATTACATACTGGCTTTAATTAAAATAAAAAAATCAACCAAACCATAAAGTACCTTTAAAGAGGATATTACCTCACAAGCTTTGAAACGTTCCACTATCCAGTCATCAGGAAGAGCCTTTGTTAAATCACCAGTCATTGGGCCAGTGCAATTTCTAATGTTCCACCTGGATTATGAAATTGTTAAAGTAATTTATGTATGTATGTTTATATATGTATGGATTCTAATAACTAGGTTAATAACGGAGTCAAACATTTGCAAGAACTCACTTGCCTTCATATCTGTGACTGTGGCTGTTTCTCACCATTTGTAATATATATTTATTTGAAGTTGTATATATATTTTTTTTATGGGAAGATCTTTGTTGTTAGAGGATACTGAATAAGGGTGGAGGGCATTTTTGCATGATTGAGAAATTCGATATGTTGTTATATTTATTTAAATGCATTCAATATGACTGACACTGTTTAGGAAATAGCACTTTTATGTTGTGCATTTCAGTTCATGCTTTGTGCCTGGTTGAGCAATCACAGTTCAAGCAAATACAAACATCATATGTGTTCACTCAGATAATATCTAACACTGGAAATATTTCACAATATTTGTGTCCTTTTTTAGTAGAATGGTAGAATAGTGTGGTTGTAAATTACAATGTTGTCTTGCTCTTAGATGTCTTGTACGGAAAGAAATAATAAATGAGCAATAATTTGTGAGCCATGGATTCACTTCACATTTGAGTATATTAACATATTGTAAATACATTCAGTACTGATTCACATTATATGCTGTTATAGAAATCTACATCAACTGATAAACACACAGAGACTGAGAACCCTTGAGACTAGAAAGAGAACATATGCATGGTATATCGGTACAATATTTTACTTTACGATTACCTTTTAATTACCTTTGATATCATCGAATGCTCACTTAAGGTAAATAAAAAATACTAATTGAATAAATGTAATGGAATCTTTTAAATGTAATATTTAGCAAATCTCAAAAAAGAATATTAATTTTTCATACTGTATAATAAAATGTGGCACCTAAAATCACCTGTAGCATTTCAAACAAATGATTTCAGTGTTGTTGATTTAATTTGTTTAGGAATAATAGAATAGAATTTTAATATCAGCCATTTATCCACATTTTCTGAATTGGCCAGAATATCAGTGCATCCCCCTTCCAAAACTGCCTAGGTACATAATATTTAAAGTATTTCAGTTACACCAGGATTAATCCCACTCTTCATCGTCATCCTCGTCATCATCAAATTCATCATCCTCTTCTACAAGATATGGTAGATAAGGCACAAGGTAAAAGGTTAATAGTTATGGCAGAGTCCAGCAGACAAACTTATTGTCTGAGCATTAATTACAAAATATATTGTGTAAATATTAATAAATATAAATGTACTACATTTTTCTTTTCATAATTACTATATTAAATGACAACAAAAAAAATGTCTAGTGATTGAGTGGTTACCAGATGAATGGATGACTTTACTCCTCTTCTGCATCACCATCATGAGAGCTCCTACTATTCCCTCTCCTGTATCCAGGGCAGGTGGAGGTGGATCTGGGTTGGTGGTCACCTGGGCAAAAGAAATTACTGTGTATAGCTTTAAGCATAACATTATCAATAATGAGAAGCTAACATTATGGGAACCTTATTCGTGCTTGGATCTTGCAAGTGGGTGATCTGCTTTGAACACTAAAATTACCATCTTTTCAACAAAATATAATATTTACACTGCCATTCACAAGTATGGGATCAGTAAGAAGACTTTTATGCTGACCAAGACTGCATTTATTTTTATCACAAATACGGTAAAATCGGCAATAATTGCGAAATAGTATTACAAATTCAAATAACATCTTTCTACTATAATATATTTTAAATGTAATTTATTTCTGTGATGGCAAAGCTAAATTTTTAGCATCCATCACTGCAGTCCCAAGAAACATTTCTTATTATAATCAATGTTGAAAAGAGTTGTGCTGCTACTGCGCTGCTATGGGAACTGCGCTACATTTTTTCACAATTCTTTGATGAATAGAAAAAAAGAACAGCATTTAAATAGAAACTTTTGTGACATTATAAAAGCCTTTACTGTCATTTTTGATCAATTAAATGGTTAATTATTAACTTTGAAATGGTAGTGTAGATACTCACCTTTTTGAGCTTCATCCCTGATTGAATCTGGGTAAGTAATGCCCCTCTACCCCCTTCCCCACTGCTGGATGCTGGAGGTGGTGGACCATTTGGAGGTGAGGGGTTGCTTCCAAAGTTCATTGGAGGAGGAGCAGCGGGAGGTGGAGGTGGCGGAGGAGGAGGAGGACCGCCTGCACTGGGTTTGGCTGAGACTGGAGGGAGTGGAGGGGCGAAGCCCGAGGATTTGCTTCGTGGAGGAAAGTTGGATTCAAAAGGATGAGGTGGAGGCACAGAATTAACAAAGTCTTCAGGTGGAGGAGGAGGAAATGATTGACAGGCTGGAGGAGGGAAGAAATCAGATGGGGGAAGAGGTAATGGCGTATCAGATTGCGGTGGAGGTGGCAAATATCCACTATTGTCTCTTAGAGGCGGGGGTAAGGGTGCGCTCCTCACACCCGGTGGTAGTGGTGGTGGAGCTGCCTCAGCAGGTTGGGGCGGCAGAAAGCTACCTCGTCTTTCGGTCATTTGTGGTCCAGGTCTCTTTCCTGGAACGGGCATTAAAGACCCCTTACGTTCTCCTGGAAGTGGTGGTGTGGGCAAACCTCCACTCCGACCTCCAGGTGGAGGTGGTAAGGGTCCACTGCGGGATCCTGGAGGTTGAGGCAAGGGCCCAGTACGCCCTCCGGCAGGAACTGGTGGCAGGGCTCCTAATGATGTAGATCGGGCTGGCAGAGGACCGCCGCAGCCCTCAGGGGTTTGTGGTGATGCAGCTGCTCTTGGAGGTGTTGGTGGAAGGGAACCTCGATGAGAAGGTGGGCCAGAGGACTGACCGGGGACAGGCGGTAGAGGCCCCATTCGACCTTGAGGTATTGGCGGCGGCTCTGAGGAGAACCCAGATGGCACTTGGGGAAGAGAACCCCGATGTCCACTGGGAACAGGAGGGCGAGTAGACTCTAAACGAAAATGAAACAATATGGTTTTAACATGAAACAAATCTAACATTTTAACTTTGCATATCACCATGACTTACCCTGCGGGTTCACAGCCTTTTTAACAGCCTCAATTCCACCTGAACGCTCAATGACATCATAGATGAGCTGAGAGGTTTCCGAATCGTTCATATCTGCTTCACTGATCCCAGCGCAGGACAGAACTTTCATAAGTTCCGGGTCCAAATTGTTGGGACCCATCCCAAGGTGACTGACATGCCTAAAGTCATGACACACAAAAAATGTAAGCTAACCAAAAACCTCTTCAGAAGACATTTATCTTGGTTAAAGCGAGTCTGCTTATTCACTCACGTGAATCCACTGGGTGCTCCAATAGCCCCTTTCAGCAGTTTAGATCCTTTCTTCTTACTTTTCTTGTCTTTCTCTTTCTTGTCTTTCTTTGATTTGGAAGGGGTCATTTGGTTCTGGCTATTACTTAGTACCAGTGGAGGCATGGCAGAAGAGGTAGGAGTACCAGAGCCTGTGATTGAAGATGCAATAATAGTATTTATTTATTTATTTATTTTTAATTTGTGTACACTTCATGCCATTTTACATCACTGAACATGTAGAGTTAAATTTGTATTGTTTTCAGAACATTCAATGCTTGTAGTTTACATGAGAGGCAGAGAACGCACAGGGATATTTGGTGTAATATTAGTTCTGTTATTGGGCCACATGACGATAATGACCCTTTCTTTTCTTTTTTCATTTTACAATAACCATATAATAAAAACCATATACAATAATCTTCCGGGCGCTGCTCGTGTGGCGACTGGCAGAGCTGCGTGTGTGCTTCATTGTTTGTACGTTAATGAGTCTGTTAAGTGGATTGTTTTAAGTATTTAAAGTGAAGATGATAACTCTGTGGAAAATTGTGCTTTTGCTGCTGCTGTTGATCACCTGGGGAAATGCGATCTCAGTTTTGGCGCATGGTGGAGAGCGTGCCAGTGATGACCAGGGAGTTCCTGTTGGGCTTGCGTTCGAACGCCGTTCCTGTTGATCCCGCTTGGAATATTCCTGGAGAATTAATTCGGCCTTCTGCGAATTCTCGAGGTCAAAAAAGAAGAGTAAGGAGGAAACTCGGGAATCGAGGTGGAGTTCGACGCAGACTAAAGAGGGCTCAAAGATTTACTCCGTTGCCTGGAATACTTGTAGGCAATGTACGCTCGCTTCGACATAAATTGGATGAGTTACAAGCCAATGTGAGTTTCATGCAGGAATACAGAAACACGCATATAATGGCATTCACTGAAACTTGGTTGGATGACTCCGTTGTTGATAGCACTTTACGGATCGAGGGTTTTGGAACACCTATCAGGCTGGACAGAGATAAAGATACAACTGGGAAAGAACGCGGAGGAGGTGTGTGTGTTTATATGAAGGAAAGTTGGTGTAATACAGCAATAGTAGGCCTACGATATAAGATTTGTAATTCAGATATTGAACTTATTGCGGTTTCGGTACGCCCTTTCTATCTTCCTCGTGAATTACCTGTTGTTTTTTGTAGTAGTATACATTCATCCACGTGCCAAGACTGATATGGCATTTGAAACTGTCAAAAATGTCCTGGATAAACTGGATAATATATCCCCAGATGCACCGAAATGTATTTTAGGTGATTTTAATCATTGTATCATGGACAAATATTTAAAGGGCTATTATCAATATGTTACATGTGCTACCCGTGCTGATAAAGTTTTGTATAGATGTTATGGCCCGATTCCGGGAGCTTATAGGTCTCTGTCACTACCACCTCTTGGTTCATCTGATCATAATATAATCATGTTGTCTTCTCTGTATGTTCCTATTGTTAAGCAAGTGAAGAGAGAAGTACGATTTGTTCGAGAATGGACACCTTCTAATATTGAAGTTTTAAAGGGTTGTTTCGATTGCACATATTGGAATATGTTTTTGAACACATGCTCTGATCTTAACGAACACGTGCACACCGTTTCTAACTATATTACTTTCTGTGTTGATGCTGGTTGATTAAGAGTATGGCTGAAGTTAGTACATGGGTATCAAGTCAACAAATGCCTATGGAGAATTATGATGCTAATTTTCTTCTATCTAATAAGTATAATGAATTTTTTTCTCGTTTTGATACATCTGCTGTAGGTGATGAGATGGCACTTTTTATGGATAATATTAATAAGATGGCACTTTTTAAAGATAATACTAGTTCTTCTAATAATTTTAAATTGAATCAATTAGATATATTGAAACAGTTGAAGGCTACACCGCTTAATAAGGCCCCAGGCCCAGATGGCATATGTGGTAGAACACTGAGTCACTGTGCTGAACAGCTTAGTGGAGTTCTCCACTTACTTTTTCAATCTTCTCTAGATCAAGGGTTGGTACCTGATTTGTGGAAAAGCTCAATTATTGTACCTATACCTAAAAAAGCAAAGTCGAAATCATTGAATGATTATCGTCCTATTGCCTTGACTTCCTTGGTCATGAAGACTTTTGAAAAAGAGATAAAAAAGTATGTGATGACAGTTGTTGGACCACTCTTAGATCCGTTGCAGTTTGCATATCGCGCTGGAAGAGGCGTAGAGGATGCAAAACTGTTTTTGTTGAATGCTGTCAGTCGACATCTGGAAAATAGTGGAGCCTTTGCGCGGCTTTTGTTTGTGGACTTTTCGTCTGCATTTAATTTTTTGCAACCTATTATTTTAGGGCAAAAACTTATTAGTCAGTTTAATTTTAATCTTGGTTTAGTTTTATGGATTATGAATTTTTTAACCGATAGGAAACAAAGGGTTAGAGTTAATGGGGTCTTATCGGACATGTTAAATATTTCTATAGGTTCACCACAAGGCTGTGTACTTTCTCCTGTTCTATTCATATTGTATACAAATGATTGTCAGAGTTTGTACAATAATAGTTATTTGGTAAAATATGCAGACGACACTGCACTTCTGTCTTTGCTGTCATAGCCAGATCAGGAATATGGTCCGAGGAGACTGCACACACCCTTTGAATGATTATTTTGAGTGGATGCCCCTTGAGCGACGTTTAAGGTCAATTAGATGTTCCACAAACTGGTACAAATTTACTTTTGTGCCTGAAGCAATACGTTTATGTAATAAATCTAGTTGATTTAGATTATTTATTTAATTAATGATTTTTTTTATTTAAATTTGTTTCCCCCTTTTTATGTATTTGGTGTATTTTTATTATTTTTTTTAAATATATGTATGTGTGTGTTAAGTGTTGTATATGTGAAGCACCACGAAAGTCTGAATGAATTGCCCCAAGGGGATTAATAAAGCTCTAAACTAAAACTAAAAAACGAAATAGCGACTAGTTTTGCAGCAAAGCTCATCTGGCTGTGTGTAGTGTAATGACCTCTTGCTCTTGCTGCATGAAGACGTTAAAAAAGACACAAATGTTTGTCTAGAGTAATTTTTGCTTATGGTTGAACTGGATCATCGAAGGTCAGAAGCAAAGACATTGGTTAATAAAATGGGATTAAATACATAAAGGATATTTGTGTTGTTTAACATTTACTTATTGCAGGTTTGCATCATATTCTGAGTTGCATTATTTTTATTCATTTTGAGGAATACTGAATCTGTGGAGGTTTTTTTGTGTGAGTGAGATGAATTAATGCATATTCATATTTATTTTAGAACTACAGTAACATCTTCTGATTTCTCTCAACTTGGGGACAGGAGAGCTGTCACACAATAAATTGGAAAAAAAGTAACTTGCGTTACTTATTTGAAAAAGTAACTAAGATATTCTCTTGTAAATTAAAAAGTAATGTGTTACTTTACTAGGTACTTGAAAAAAGTAATCTGATTACTTGTCATGCGTTACCCCAACACTGCTTATAAAGAATGTCTCAAATAACCAAACTTTAACAACATAAGGGCAGATCACCTGAGCGCAGCTGATGGCGCTTTGAAGTGACGATTGAGTCGTCAAAAATATTCCAATGTACAAATAAGCTTTCCTTTGATTCCTCCTTCCTCATTTTCTTTCTTTGTATCCGTCTCTCTCATCCTAAGGGGGGGGGGTGGATGGTTCAGTGGTGGAGCTAAGACGCGAGGAAAGGAAGCGAGTGAAGGAAACGAGGATATGCAAATGAGAAAAGTTAAAGTGCAAAGGATTATGGGTATTCCCTCCAGCTTCTTCGCTAGGCATGCTCAGTAGCAGATACAACAATCTGAAGTTCAAAGAACTGATCCAATCCAAGCAGCTTCTACAGGACGTCAGTAATCAAACTGAGCATGTTCGACAATTGATCAGTTCCACTTTCACCAACAAACAACAGACAACAACAGAAAGTTCTCACTATTTAAACTTATAAGTTGCTCATACTAACTAAAATGTGACTGTATTTTTGTTTTCTACATTAGATAGTTCAATCAGTCTTTAAAATGGAGTTTGTCTGACAAAATGGAAGTATTTTTACAACGTGTCTGACAGTGGGATGACAATACATTGTGTGTTATAGTTATATGGCCAGTTAAGAGTTTTCATCAGCAACAACTGCATGCGTTCATCATACATGCAAATACTGTGGGTAACATTAGCTTCTTTTGCCTATCTAAATGCAACAGCAGACAGTACTGTTGTAGACATTAATATGAGGAAGTAACTGATGTGCTAAATTAACTTTACAGGAAAGAGAAATAACTTCCCCGAGACAAAAAAAAAAAAGTCTTATTGTAATGTATTATATACATGTTAAAATCAGTTGTAACAATGACATTGAGCATATGACTCACAAGGTTGCAATGAATTGATATTCAACAGGTAAATACTTACGTCTCCAGGGAAAGTGTGAAAGAAAGGCTTGGTCCTTCGGTACATCAGTTGGTTATAGATTTCCTGTTCCCACACCAGATTCCCTGCCTGAAGGGAAGAAACAAATCTGAGATCATCTCAGTTTTCTCCCAGACAAAAGCAGGTCAAACATTTGCGGAACTAAAAGGGTAAAATGTGTATTTATTTTATTATATATATTTGTTTTAGATAGCTTGTCAAGATGTTAATTCATGCACATGAAAATGTGATAATGATTATTATAATGATCTATAAAATCTAGAAATGTAAGATTGAATGCGTTTATTTAGGGCCTGCTGTTTTCACCATGTTTAGCAATAAGAGAGAAATAGTGTTAAGAACCTTGATGTCATAGAGACGGATGAAAAAGGAGCGCTGTGGACTGTCTTTGACGAAACAAACTACTCCAGACTGCTGTGGTGTCCAGCGGTTCGGCTCACTCGGAAGAGCCATAAGCAATTGCACAACCGCTGAGGACAGAGACTGCAGACGAAACCAGAAAAAGGCTGTAATTCATGCCACACTTTCACAAAGGCCTGTTTTTCTCACATGCATGATTGCATGTGAATTATGTTCACTAATGAACACACCAAGAAAATCCCACTCAGTGTCCAAAACGTACCTAAAGATGGCAGATTATACAGAGGCTGTGTACAAGCCTTATTCTGTGGCAGGAAATGTCTTTAAGCAACTTCCCCTGTCAAACCCCCCTCAGTGATCACAGTTCAAGCTGCAGTGAGGGCTAATTTCACACCTTCTTTTCCTTTAATCACAAAAGCTTTCACTGTGCATTCAAGCAGCACCAAAAATTACCCACAAAATGGCAGTTACTGCACTGTCGGGTCTGCAGCAGAGGTCTCGGTGTGTTAGAGGAAGGCTACCATGTTGAAAAAATTAAAACAAGTGTTATTTTCCATAAAATAAAATAGTTTTGATTGTGTGCAAATTAAGCAATACAATTTCACAATCAGCGCATATTTGTATGTGTGTGGTGTCCCATTCCTAATATATATATATATATATATATATATATATATATTTGTATTTTTTATTTTATATTATATTATTGATATAACATATATACAGTTCTATATATCTACAATTAATATATTATTAATATATTTATTTACTTGTGTGTGTGTGTATAAAATATTTTTGCTTTATTTTTATTTTATTTTTTTTTTGACGAGCATGTACTACTTCAATTTTTGCAGTGTATGCAAATTAAGCAATACAATTTATCGGTACATATTTGTATGTGTGTGGTGTACAACCTCAATAGTTGCATTAGATAAATGCTTCTGCTGCATGAATGCGAATGTTAGTATAAAGAATATAGCCAGCAACAACAGGATCTGGCCCTGACTGTGACAAACAGTGTCATAATGGAACGATTGCAGAACCCAGTACAGAAGTGAGAAACATTTTTGAATTTACTGGTTTACCAACAGCTTTCTTTGATGTGCAGTATGACTTATGTGACTGTGATTAGTCAATGAATAACTACATTGGCAAATAAATAAATGTATGTATGTATGTATGTATATGTACTGCTAATTATCTGCCAGGACATTATCCATTAATTTTACAGGCATTTCCGTTAACCCTAAAACTCAATGCAATGAAGTGCAAAATTCAAACGATAGGTGAAAAACCTGTAAAAATAAATACAGAAATATTTAAATATTATAAATACAGAATATTTAAAGAAAATACAATTTGCATTTGAAATTAAGAAAATTTCATTTGTAATGTGTCACGCAGGGACTTCTAAAAATATAATTGTACTGATATTTCATACTTTGAAAAACATAACTTTAAGAGTATGCTACTGTTACAATACACGTATTGTCTAAATAATGCTGATTTTAATAAATGTTACACTGTTTTACATTTAATTTTACAAATTTTCACAGTATAAGGTCACTTTTGTGTAGGGTTTTTGCATACTTTTTCCATTTAAAATTACAAATATTTTTACAATTTAAAAGTCACACCATTAAAGTTACAATGCTTTTTTAAATTAAGTTACAATTTTTTTTTTTTTCCAACACATGGTCAAAGTGAAAATTTTCCACTTCTTACATGAGATAAATGAGGGGAAAAACACTGAAAAAATGAGTTCAGCTTCTCAAAAAGAGAAGTAAAACTTTATGGTCAATATTTCTTTTCTTCAGATATTGCCAAACAGTTTGATATTTTTGTATGGCAATTTTTTTTAAATTAAAATGTTATTTTATTGCGTAAAACTTTTAATTCCATCTTGCAAGTCATAAAACAAACTACAACAGTGATAATGACAAATAAGTGAACACACTAGACGGTCTGTTTTCAAACGCTTTTAAAGCATGCAGTCATATTTTGGCCCATGGTTTGCACAGATGTCACTCCGTTTCAACAAGATAACACTTGTACGTTTACCCATCTTCCCTCTGCAAAGTGTAAATTTCCCTTATAGGCCTGTACTGAAGGCCCTTGAACTTACTCACCACACACCTCCTGCCCAGCAGATGCTCCAGCCTCTCATTTTCCTGTGGACTAAGCAGAGAGCTGCCCACATTCTCCTGGCCTTTCCCCTTCGTTGCTCGCTTCATGGCCTCATATGCTCATGGAACAAACCGTTAAAAAATGAAACTCGAAGCGAGAGAAAGAAAGAGACCCTGGAAGAGAGCGAGAAATCTCCTCCGTACTACCGGTGACTAGACTGAGCAGCGAGCATTGAGTTTCTCTTCCTAGTTCTTACTCTCAGCATCAGCCAAGACAAAAGGTTTTCACAGGAAATGGACAACCACACTTTTTTTTCTTTTCTATTTTCATTCTCTCGCCTTGTTGTCAGTGTGACACACTGCTGTATGCACATGTTGCTTTCAGATGAGAGCGGATGTCCCCTTAGAGCCACCCCTGTCGCCGCACACAGATCATCAGAACAGCCATTCTACAATGTACAACGTATACCAAGATAGCCTTCTGTTGGTCGGTTCCTGTCTGGTGACTTTAATATCTGTCTGTATGTCACATATGATGAAGAGCAGAAATCAAACAAAACAAAAGGACTGAGGAATTACTAATAGTGTTAAAATAAATAAATAAATAAAGTGGTGGTGAAAGGAAAATGAAACATATCATGACAATGTCATGTTAAGGGAGTTTTGGCTTTTCACAACAAGTACCTCACACAACCACACTGAAGCTTCTAGTTTTTATCTGTTAAAAAGAATAAGTTGAGGCAATAGTTGAAAAAAAAAATCAAGGCAACAAATTGCACTGACATTTTTTATTTATTTTTTTTGGTTCTCTTAACAAATGTAATTGTCTTCAGTACTTTGGGCAATTGGATTTGTTTGTCCAGTCAGTGCTAAATGTCTTTCCAACTCTTGTCACAGCAAATACAGATCTGTATGAATGTTTTGAAAAAGAATGTTTTAGAATGTTTTCTGTTAATTGCCCAGGAAGCATTAGATATTCGTTTAACCTTTATTAACATGTTGTCTCCGTTGTTTCGCAGCCAATATGTAGTTAGCTTGTTAATGAAATATCGTCTGTAGGTCGGCGAGCTAGCATGTTTGGCGGGGTTTTTTTTTTTTACAAATCTATGTTGTCAGGATTGTTAACGATTAATATCTCACGAAAAGCTAAAAAATTGTGTGTATGGCAGTTGAATCCCTAACAATCACCTCACAATTGCTATGGGACTCTTAGCACTACTTAAAAACTCGCCAACAACGTGCATTTCCATGCTATTTTGACTAGTAGCTAACTATTTAAATTATTGGTAAAGCAATAAAGGGGAAGTTGTGGCCTAATGGTTAGAGAGTCGGACTCATAACCCAAAGGTAGGGGGTTTGAGTCTCGTACCGGCAGGGATTGTAGGTGGGGGGAGTGAATGTACAGCACTCTCTCCCACCTAAACCAGCGGTTACCACGACTGAGGTGCCCTTGAGCAAGGCACCGAACCCCCAACTGCTCCCCGGGCGCCGCAGCATAAATGGCTGCCCACTGCTCCGGGTGTGTGTTCACGGTTTGTGTGTGTTCACTGCTGTGTGTGTGCACTTAGGATGGGTTAAATGCAGAGCACTAATTCTGAGTATGGGTCACCATACTTGGCCACATGTCACGTCACTAAAGCCAATAATAGTGTAAATGGTGCTTATAATAATTATAATTTTTTTTATCTAGGTAATGAAAGAGGAGGACCAAATCATGGTTACTCTTAATTTTACACAAAGTGCTTTGCACAGAGAAAACTGTTGGATGTGTTGAAGTACTGATCAGCTCATGCAGAGCATTGGTGCAGGTTTGCCAGGTTTTCACAACAAAACCCACTCAATCCGGAAGAGTAATTCGCAGCTGGTTCCTTCGAGGTTTTCCTATGGGGTATTATAATGGGGGTTTTCAATTAATGAGTAAAATAAAGCCTGTGGTAAACATAACTTGATACTTTTACGTTTTGTTCTACAACGTAAATTACACGCATCCATACCCAAAACACAAATTGTGAAGCAGTTATGTTCATGTTTGAAAACGTATGTTTTTAATAAGTAGGCTAAATAAGAACGTTTGGGCTGTGAGTGTGTGCAGTTTACATAATAGAACAAAATGTAAAAGGATCTCAAGTTATGTTTACCACAGTAATAAAATACATGTTTTTTGGCGGGGTTCCCCTGGCAAAATTTGCATTCCAGGGGCTAAATATCAAGTTATTGGTGTTGCTTCAACCTGCTGACATGAAAAACAACCTGCCGCAACAGTAATGTAGCCCAATTCTGCTCATTCAAATATGGAATGAAATGAAATGCTCATTCAAATATGATTCAGACCGATGGGGAAGGTGCCCCCTCAGATTTTGATACAATCACACGGATGTGATGTGCAGCACAATAGCTGCTAAATTCAAATCTGCCTTCGTGCTTTGGCTGGCGCTGAGCAGGAGACAGACGCGTTTTTACAGCGCTGCGCATTATAACCAATCACACATGATTCTGTTGAGCTTATGAATGCAATGACCAATCAGAGGCGTTCAGATGAGTCATCGCTGAAACACGGAGTTTTGTTTAGTGCGCGCCTCGCTGACTGAATTCAGATCTCATCTCACTCTCTCATCAGAAACAACGAAGCGCAGATGTGCGTACGATGTAAGTAAGATATGCATTTCACAGTGTAAACAGCTTCAGTGATTATAATGGGAGTTTTTGACTCCTGCCCCCTCAAAAATAGTAAGTGCATGAAGCCCCTGCATATCCCTGTGCATGTGTCCTTTCAAAATAAGAGCTACCAAAATAAGCCAAATAATGCAATATCACATACCATTTGTTGTCTATATAGCATGTGGTATTTATATCTATCATTTGTTGACTATTTTGCTTTATCAGTTTTTCTGAAATTGCAGTTGTTTTTAAATTACTGTTTTACAGTTAAGCTGCATGGTCAAAGACCTTATTTCTTTGTTTTGTCTTAATGCTTTTATTAGTTGATATCTCTGATGTTTTGGCTGTGCAGCACCTTGGTCAGCGCTCGTTGCTTTTAAGGTGCTATATAAATAAACTTGACCTTGACCATGACCTTTTAAGCAATATATTGAATAAAGTGCCATGTAAATACATGTGACGTGACTTCACGGGAGTGCCAATTTGCAGAGCTCGTGCAAACATACCCATGCTATGAACAGATGCTTTTTATAAATAAATAAAAAAGCTTACTGTTCCATGATTGTTGTGTTTATTTTGTTACTGAGAGGAAAAGCGCGCAGCACATATTAACATATTCGTATAAACGTTGCTTTCATCAGAGTGGGCGGTGTTGGGATTTTCGATAACAGTATACCGCTGTTCACGTATTTCGAACTTCATTTTACCCCTAAACGAAGAATGAAAAGAACTTCGTTTTGAGTATATTGGGGCCTTAACAACCTAGTATGAGAGCCTGTTCTAGTACACCCCCAAAACAAAATCAAAGCTTTGTAAAAGAGCATAATAGGACCCCTTTAACTTGTTAAGGAAGTTGCTTTTTAAAGTGATGCTGTCAGTGAAATTGTAGAGAAACATGGAATGTAAGAAGCCTATATGGTTGTTTAACAGCTGTAAAGTGTATCTTTTGCCCTTACAATATTTAAAAATACTGTCCAGAAATATTTGCAATATTAATATGACTTTGATTAATATGATTTTGTTTTATGCACTAAAGGTGGACACTGAATTTTCCAAGCTTACAGATGTGAAAGAAGACTTGTTCATCAGGAAATGGGAAGGGACCAAATAAATATAATTTTTGGAGAAGAAAATTGACATCAGTCACTTATTAGAGAAAGCAGACAGTCAGCATGATGGTACTATTTTTTGGCTCTACGTGACATGCACACATTTCTAAATGTAATTTACGAATTTTTGAACATTATTTCATGATATAAAATGGATCATTTCAAATACAATTTTGTTTTAAATTGATCTTTTGCATTTGTCCTATATTTTTACTTAGTCAAAATGAGCTGTGCTGCATTATGTTGAAGATTCTCATTCATCTTCCACCCAACGGCATCTGGAAAAAGTGTTGCTGGCAGTAAATGCTGTGGTAATTCTGCTGTCTCAAACCTGTTGGAGTTGGTGCCGGTATGCATTGTTAATGTGTTTGCTTTTAATAAACAAAGTTGTCGCTCAAGCAGAAACATTTTCTTATACTTCTCATTTTTGTAGGCTGGTACCAGCTTGACCTCCTTACTGCGGGAGTCCATGAAAGGGTCCCTGAAGTCAGTTCAGCTGGTTTCCATTGGTTCACTTGGACATGGAGCCCAGTACGTAAATGTGGCCAAGAATAATTATTTTGCCCTTCCTTTCAATCTGTGTCAACTATCATTGAGATTTTGTCTTGCAGACAATGTTCTATTTGACAGTGCTTAACGGATATATATGAGTTTTATGTAATTTGATAAATGTTTTTATGAGGAATGTATTGAAGTGCTTGTTTAACAAGTTCGAAATGTTTTAATATTCTTGTTTAACAGTTTTATGTTCAGCATACTGTAATAAAACCGTTAAATTAACACAATATTATAACTGTTTCCATGTTAACAATCAATATGTACTTCAATGGTTCTTTGTGTGATTTCATAATAAAAGTATCTAAATTGTTAACAGACTATTATCTTTTATTTTAAAACCTAAAAATAATTGCTCAGGAACACAGTTGTGTAAGACATGTGTAATGTGTTTAGTAAAGTGACACAATTTGTGTTCTATTTTTAACACATTTTAACTCAATGTGTTGTCCCTGAGCACACTCAGAACGTGTTGCAAATACACGTTGTTATTTTTAACACATTTGTTTTAAAAGTGTACCTTGATATTTTGTGTCCAAAACATCATGGTAATATCATGGTACTTTATTGTATGCAACATATAGATTAGAATATGACGTGTAAAGACGGTATGTATTTAGGTGAGTCTATCTTTGGAAACACGGTCTACTAAAAAAAAAAAAAAAAAAGAAACAAAAAAACAGTGGTTACGATCTAGGGCGCCCCCTGCTGTCTAGCCACCTACCTTGCAGGCGGCACCCTTCTTCCAGCTTTACAAGGTAGGGGTCCTGAACGTTACGCACCCCCAGGGTGGGCACGAGGAGCCAAGTACCCATGTAAGTGGACCCCATTAGAGAAGCTTCGCATCTAATCATGAGTTTTATTGCTTTAAAATTTACA